CCTTAAATTACTGATGAACAACTGAATCTTAAATAAGTGTTGTGTTTATTTACAAATAGGGATATACATACATATTACAATTAAGGGAATTTGAAAGGGGAATTGGGGATAGGAATTAAGGGTAAGGATCCTACAGCTAGCTACACCATTCTCTCTCTCTGTCACACATGCCATGGGGTTTTTCTCCTGTTCTCAGAACACGCTCTCCAGCAGGTCTCAGCGAATCACATTCTTGATTGCAGAGTTCAGAAAGACTTGTCTTGTCCAAAGGTCTTGCTGTTCAGCTAGGTTAGTGTCACACAGGAAGAAGGTTCCATCATATGCCCCTGCCCCCATTCCAGCATATATGCCTTGCTGACACAGGTGTGGGCAGTAAATACCAGCAGGGGGTCGGGCTTGCCCCAGGACATGACAGTCCTGCAGATCTCCTTTGATCAGTGTCCAGCCCAGGAACCCTTTGCTGGCCTTCATTTACATATCAAACACCTGCTGATTCCATTCAAGATATCAAGGAACCTTCCATCAAAGATGTATCATAGATGTCAATTTTATCGATTGCAACATGGGATAAAAGTGCATTTCAGTCTCCCCATAGTTCTCCTTTAAGCCAACAAAGTATTACATGCCTTGAGGGGAATATATCAAAACTGGAGCAGTCACCCATGGCAACCAATCAACTTCTTTAATTTTCAAAGTTGAACTGAAAAGAGAAGCTGATTAGTTACTATGGGCAACTGCTCCAGATTGTCGTTTGGGGGGGGATAGGCTTTGTGTCAATATTGTTTTACAAAAATGATTTTACTTTCTTTGTGTTCTATAAACATTTGTGTTCTGTTTGAACCTTTGTTAGAATAAAAAAGGAATTTTATTAGAAATAAAACGTATAGATTTTATTCTTTAATGTTTCCCATTTAAAATATAACACTGAAATGATATTTCTGGTACAAAGTACTGTACAGTTAATTTAGGTTTAATCAAAGGTTAATTAAGGGACTAAATAAGAGTATATTTATTCAAAAAATGTAACTTGTAAGGTTTCTGTCATTGAAGTGAGGTCATTCATATGTAAACCACTGTTGATCTACATATGAATATAATAAATACAATAAACAATTCTTTCATTCCTCATATTTACTCAATGACACTTTACACATTTTGTCAGCCGCTCCTGCTCTGTAATACAAAGCATTGACTTGCTGTCATGTTGACAGCTAGTGATTGTGAGTGGCGGGGATGAGCCACAGCAGGAAGGAATGGAGCTGGATGTGTTGCTCATGTATTCTTTAGAATAGAACCAGAATATTCCGCTGCTACTGCAGTAGGAATGAACGCTGCGACATTCTAGTGCAAAGATCTTGAAAATGTGAAATCTTAATTTCTGTTAATAATGGTTCAGAAACCTCCAGAGCTTGCGGAACACAGACCCCGTAATTGCAGGTAGTGATTGTGTTATGTATTGTTTTTCAGACAGCACAGAGGTGGACGGTGTTCCCAGCCAAGAAGCGTCAGATACACGAAAGGTCATGGAAGAACTTCAGAACCGATATCGTCAGATGGAGGAACGGATCACTTGTCCGATCTGCATCGACAGTCACATTAAACTTGTGTTTCAGTGTGGTCATGGCTCCTGCACAGAATGCAGCACATCCCTCGTTTCTTGCCCCATCTGCAGGCAAGCTATTCGGGAACGGATACAGATATTCGTCTGAGCCGGGCTTCTGGTGTGAACGCAGTGTCAGGCGCTGCCGTAGAACCTAAGGACGCAACATACGCCTGAGCAAAGCATGATAGGGTTGACCCTCTCCAAGGCAAGGCGTGCAGTGACGAGAGACAGGTCCAACTCTGCTCAAGATGAAATTGTGGCTGCTGTGTGTGTGTGTTTTAAACACTAAAAAAACAATATATCAATATCCACACTGGAAGGGCTAATATAGCGCAGTCTTCCTGAAACTACATTGTTCAGAGGGACGGATGAAGCCTACAACCTCACCCATTCAGTAATGGCACGGCTGCCCAATCCTGACATGGAACCAGTCTGTCACATTCTTTGTTCTTTTGTAAGTTTCTTCACAATGAATCCAATTCATGGCCTTCCAGCAGCAAGCTATGCTGCATTCATATGTTAAGCATACGTCACCACAAGATGTAGCATCGCAGCAATACAATAGGTAGACACCCATCATTAGCCAAGGAATGTCACACTGTAAAATGAATGCGTGACTAGATTTGAGAAAGCAGAATCCATAACTTGCGGGGTTGGCTGGTTCCAGTTTACAAAAATGTGTGCAAGAAAAATGATATTTAAAAAAGAAAAAAGTATAGACTGTCATTAGATTCTGGAGGTCATCAAGTACATAGGAGTCATAGCAGTAGATGGTCTGGAGAGAGACATCAGAAGAAATGGAAAGAAGTCATTTCATTGTTTTTACGATTCTTCATCATGAATGTCAGGTGACCGGGTTGAGTAGCAAATGAAAAGACGGCTCATTTTTATGTGTAAAATGTATGAAATGTGTATAATACCAAAATAAAATCCGGCTCGTTAATATTACAAACGTTGTAACTTCTTAATACCATGAGGCGGGTTATTGTAATATCTGTGAGTACCATACCTGAAGTGTTAATGTTTAAAAGAACAATTGTAGTAAAAACATGTCGCAACTCACCAATATAAGTAAAAGATCGTGCGGATTATACACAGGATTTTGTCGGAACATTCAAGAACAGCAGCGAGACTTGATGAACATTGTTTGAAGTGTCACTCCAGACCACTGCAACTCAACATTCTAGCGGCGTGGGACAAGAAGGCTTGGTCTCTGAACAGGCATATATGCCTAAACCCCAAAACCAGGCTTGTCTTAGTCTTGTGGAAGTCCTGCCCTGGAGTCCAGAAAGTCCTTCCTCTCTCTCTCTTGTTGAAGGTTCTCCCAATGTATGCCAACCTGTCAGGCTAAGGAGGTACACGGGACTTGGTCATTGGAAGAAGCTCATCTCCTCATTAGCATTCTGGAGCTCAAAGTGATTCGGCCATCTCTTCAATACCAGACCTATCAAATGCAAGGTCATCCAACCACCATTCTAGGGCTGCAACAACTAATCGACATAATCGATTAATCGGCTTCCAATCAGTTGGCCCTGTTTTTTTTTTATTGTTTATCCGATTAACCGATTAATCGAACTTAATAATCGGCTAACTAATCGATTTTGAAAATAATCGTTAGCTGCAGCTCTACACCATTCAGCTATATAATGAAACGACAGTGGCCGACATTAATTACCAGGAAGGAACCAGAGGTCTCGCAGCTCAAATTCCTGCATGTTCCAGCTCTGTCTGCTCTACACATTTCAGGTGTACAAAATGGGCAGGGAAATTCCTCAGTAACAACACCTGGATTTAAGAGATTGGTTTCTCCACCCCAAGATGTTTCAGGTCCTTTGTCGCAGCTGAGGGATGCTGAACGTGGACCTCCTGCCTTCCATGTTCAACAAGAAACTGAGCAAGTTTGTTTTAAGGTCCACGTATTATCTAACCATCACAGTGGATGATGTGGTGACAACATGGCCTACATGCATCTCCCTCTAAAACCCCTCCCTTGCCTGCTCCACTGGATCTGGTTGGCGGGCATTCTTGTGATTCTCATTGTACCAAACTGGTCCAGGCAGACGTAAAACTCTTGCAAGACTCTCTGTGGGCCCCCCCAGAATTTCTATCCCAAAGACCAATTTACCGCCCTGCTTCTCTGGCCTTTACAGCCTGGGTAATGAAGCCCGGGTCCTGAAGGATACGGGCCTATCAGATTCTGTTATCCCCTATACAAAGTACATTTCTTGCAAAATCTACTGCTGCACCTGGAAAACGTATATGTCTCTTAGTGTTTCCATCCCAAGAAATACTCTGTGAGATGAATCCTATCTTTTCTCCAGTCTGGTCTGAATCAACATTTGGCATGGGGGGGGGGTCAAATCTCAGCCCCAGCAATTCTTTTCCAAAGACCTCTTCCCTTTTATTCTTTTGTGGAAGTCTTCATTCATTGTGTCACTCACATGTTTCCCCTGTACATTCTCCAGTGATTCTGTGGGATCTCAGCTTGGTTCTGTCAGTTCTCCAGAAACTGCCTTGTGAACCTATCAGGGATATTCACCTGTCTACACCCACTCATAAGGTTGCCATCACCTCAGCAAGGTGAGTCCCTAAGTCGGCGATTTTGACCTGTACAGAGATAAAATTGTCTTAAGGACCAAAGCCTTTTTTTTTCTCCAAGCCCAGAAGTGAGCTTGGAGCAGTGACTTCTTTACAACACACACACAGGGACTATGAGGAACACACACACAGGGACTATGAGGAACAAAAGTAGCCGCCTTCAGAGATGAAGTGATACACAAATAAAATACATTTTTGTCATTCGTTAAGGTACCTGAATGCATTGTTAAGGTTTAGCTCCTGCGTTTAGTGTGGCTTTAGTGATAATCTGGTACTTGTGAGTAGAGAGAGAGAAACACATGACACCATCATTTAGCTTTCAATACCTTAGTAGCCACTTGCCAGGTCCAGTTACTGTCATATAGGAAGCGAGGGCAGGCAGGCTAAAAACAATACCATGAAATTCACCACAGATACATTACTTATCCAGTGATGTACTTTTGGTTTCCCTCTCAGCTAGACACTGCTCTCAGCAGCATGCAGTTGTGCCAGGGCACACATAACCAGCGTGCCATACACTACGCAGCACAGGAAACCTCAAAATGTACTTGACGGGATAGCAAAATATTAGAGGAGATTAAACACATTTCGCACTGACAGATGTCGGAAAATCCAGCAACATCTTTTCATCAGACAACCCGTCAAAAAATCTTCCTAAACCAGAATTGTCAGCCAAAGCTTTCATGGCATATTGAGTAGCTAAAGGCTCTGTCCTTGTAGAAATGACACACACAGTATATACACAGGGATATTATTATTATTACACAGGATTTACATAGCGCCAACAATTTGCGCAGCGCTTTACAAAATGGAGGAGACAGAACAGTTACTATAGGATTTGGAGGGCTAGATAGATAGGAGGGATAGATGGAGCGTACCAGTCATTGAGGCAACATTTGTTTTGTCGGCTCCCTCAGTATGAGAATGAAAAGCATCTTCTCTATTTTTAGATCTACATGTGCAATAGAGAGATCAGTGTGATGTAAATCATTTTGTTCTGTAGCAATGTTTTGCATTATTATTTCAATGTAGAATTTATAAATATATAGAAACAGACTTCCTCTATAGAAACGCACACAACAGATGCAGCCATATGTGCTGGACTATTACATTCTCAGGCTATGCTTCCTGCTTTTCTATGCTACACAATGGGTTTTTTATGCACCATTTACCTGTAAAACAACCCCCCTTGTATGAACATCTATAAGCCCTGGGACTGCTGAAAGGCACTGTCATCTTGGATGTGAATCAGCTTGAGACCGGTCACTCAAGTGCCACTTTATATTATTTTCCTTCAATCGTTCCCTGGCTGCTACATATGAATGGAGGTGAAGAGAGGGCCAGAGGAGCTTGGCCAACATTAGCAGTCCCAGAAGAGGGCTATGATGCGCAAGGAGGGAGAGGACACGACAGGACAGGACTAGGGAACGTTCTAGTCAGATTCTCTATCACAATTAAAGGCGCACTGCAAGTCAAAAATGTATGGAAAGGAAAAACACTGCAACTAAATATTTAACACTGAAATGTGCCATTTTTTTCTATGCTTTCATCTGTATTTTTTTTCTCCCCACAAGGGAGCTGGCTCTACGTACCCCAAATTGTATAGTCCACTTTGTACTCTACACAACCGTTGGTTTATTGCAAAGGATATGCTCAGGTAAACAACATCAACAGAAGAGGAATGCATTTCTTGCTGGTCCTTATGACTAAAGCTGGCCATACACCTAGAGATTATCTGCAGATTGTCTATGGTCAGATGTAAAAAGTGCAACAGATTCCTCCATCTACGCTAAACTGTGTGGATGGAGGAATCTCCCACTGGGCCAAGCTTCAGTATCTTGCTAGTCGGCCCTACTAGTAAAATACCGGAACAATCTGATTGGATGCAGGCATTGTTCAGGTGTTTTGACAGCCAGCGGGGCCGACTAGCACGATACTGAAGCTTCCATCTGACCACAGAAAATCTGCAGATAATCTATAGGTGTATGGCCAGCTTAAGTCATAAGGAGCTGGTCATTCTGCAGTAAACTTGTACTTTGAACAGGTTTATCTCTGATACCTTTCAGGATGTGCTGCAGGCACCTAACAGTTAAAAAGTGAAAGTTGCATCAATAGTTACTTTAGGGTACCCCGTATGATAAGCCTCCACTCACACTTGAGTGTTTTCAGGCGATTATGAAGCTTTTTTTTTTTGCATTTTGTTTTAGCCAATGGAAACCTAGATACTAGGAGAAGGAGACAGATTGTCAGGTGCAAAATTACATGAAAGAAAACAAAAAAAGGTAGGGATGCACCCATGAATAACGAGTACTCATACTCGCCCAAATGCTCCAATACCGAAATTTCCAGTCACAGGGAGATCTCCCTCTGACCGGTAGTGCCGAGTGTGCATGGAGCCAGCTTCCTTTCCAATCAGGAAGCCGGGCGGTGGGTTATGACCCACCTCCCAGCATCCTGATTAACTAGGAAGCCTGCTTCGCTTGTTGATAGGCAACTAGCCAATCAGGAAGCCATGCAGCATGTAATGACCAGCTCCTTGGCTTCCTGATTGGTCAGGAAGCCAGACTGCCTAGGATTAAGTGAAGCTGGCTTCCCAGCCAATCAGGAAGCCGGGAGGTGAGTCATGACCCGCCTTGCAACTTCCCGATTGGCTAGGAAGCCAGCTTCACTTGTTTTTTAGGCATCCTGGCACGTCATGACTCGTGTCACTGCTTCCTGATTGGTCAGGAAGCCTCGACAAGTGAAGGCGATGTTCTTTCGCTAGAACACCGGCTTCACATGCAATCAGGAAGCCGGGCAACTTCCTGATAATCTGGGCACACGACACAGGTACTCAGTATTGGCGAGTACCAAAAAAAAAATCGGTACTGGATACCGAAAAACTGGGATTGGTACAGCCCTAAAAAAAAAAAAGTGTTATGCACCTTTCTGCAGGTACACCCATGGAGCCCAAAATGCAAGACTGTTAGTGAATGGGCACCTTTGAAAATAATGTGATTCTTCATGTCAAGTGCTGTGACGATTTGGGAAAAGCATGACAGCACGCTCATGTGTGAAG